ATCAGCACCATTGCAGGAGTAAGAAAACATCAGGGCTTATATCCCCATTCTTCCATTACACCCAACAGAAGACAAATTTTAAATTTTCATTTTTAAAACAACCAAATTTTACATACCAATCACAGTTCCCTCTCCCTTCCACCCTCTCTCTTCCCCTACCTCCTCCCCATCCCACTCCCCATTCACTCCTCAGAGAGGGTGAGGCCAGGCCTCCCATGGGGAATCATCAAAGTCTGTCACATCACCAAACCTCCCCCTCCCCCTTGTATCTAGGCTGAGCAAAGTATCCATAAGGAATGGGCTCCAAAAATCCAGTTCATGCACAAGAGATAAATACAGGCTCCACTGTCAGTGGCCTCACAGACTGCCCAAGCCCCCCAACTGTCACCCACATTCAGGGGGTGAAGTTCAGTCCTATGCAGGTTCCCCAGCTATCAGTCTGGAATCAGTGAGCTCCCACTTTCTCAGGTCAGGTGTTAGCACTCAAGAAACTACACACCAAAACACCAAATAATCCAATTAAAAATGGGGTACAGATCTAGATAAAGGATTCTCAACAGGGGAATCTCAAATGGCCAAAAGACACTTAAGGAACTGCTCAAAAACACTAATGAAAGATTATGCTGGAGAGGATGTGGAGTAAGGGGAACACTCCTCCATTGCTGATGGGAGTGCAGACTTGTACAGCCACCGTGGAAATCAGTATGGCAGTTTCTCAGAAAATTAGGAATTGATCTACCTCAAGCCAGCAATACCATTCTTGGGAATATACCTAAAGGATACACACACCACAAGGACATTTGTTCAACTATGTTCAAAGCAGCATCATTTGTAATAGCCATAACCTGGAAGCAACCTAGATAACCCTCAACTGAAGAATGGATAAAGAAAATGTGGTACATTTATACAATGGAGTAGTACTCAGCAGAAAAAAAACAATGGAATCTTGATATTTGCAGGAAATGGATGGAACTAGAAGAAACTATCCTGAGTTAGGTAACCCAGACCCAGAAAGACAAACATGGTATGTACTAACTCAAAAGTGGATATTGGACTTTTGCAAAGGATAACCAGCCTAGAGTCTACAAACCCAGAGAAGCCAGGAAACAAGAGGGCCCCTAATTAGAGGCATACATAGACCTCCATGAGAAGAGGAAATAGAGAAGCTCTCCTGAGTAAATTGGGATCCTGGGGGTGGGAGGTAGGGGAAAAATGTATTATAGCTTCATATAAATGGGAATATACTAGCTCATGAGGCTTTGTAGTCCAATATAGTCAAATGCTACACAGAGGGAACCTGGAAGATGATATAGTGAATGAAAGCATTTTTTGTAGAAGGGTAAGGGCCTGAGTTTGAATCCTTCACATCCATGTAAAAATCTGGGCATAAGCATAACTGTGTGAACACCTATAGCCATAGTACTGTGTGGGGAAACATGGAAGGATTATTACGGTTTGCTGGCTGTCAGCCTAGCTTCATGCTTATGGACTCTGTCTAAAGGGGATAATGTGAGCATGATAAAACAGGACACCCAGCATCATCTTCTGGCCTCCACATGTCAGGAAAGTATATCATCATCATATCACACACACACACACACACACACACTAGCTACATAGAGTAAGTGACATTTGGGGAATGAATGATGTATCCCCAACATAATTGTTTTCCCTTGATTTCTCAGGGTTGGCTTTGCTTTGGGGATCTGCAGAGTGCCAAGATATTTGCAGCAGCTCCAGGTTCCTTGTAGAATCAAATTATTGTCTCCAACTGGAAAGGCCTCCTTCTCATTGTTCAAACCAAAGACTGAAGGTACAATCTGATGGGGGAAATGTAGCTTCAGCTACTGCTGCATTTGGATACATGTTTGGGTGCTGCAAAACAGGTTTGATCTCTGTCATCATGGAAAAGAAATCTAAGGAACAAAGAATCATCCAGATAGAGTAATTAGTAACACACTAATTTTAAAAAAATTACGAAGCAAAAACACAGAATGCTTCAAGGCATACGACTGGCAAAATATGGTTCACAGACTCAGTATGGTCCAATATCTCTTTTTCTAATGAATCACATTCCATGCTCTTCATTTGCTTATTATCTATGGTTGCTTTCTGCTGCAGCTGCAGGGTTGTGTATTTGTTACAAAGACCACATAGCCAGGAAAATCAGTAACACTCTTGTTCGGATCCTTTATTTAAAAAACAAAAATGTTACTATTCGAGTACTGAGAACATCTAACCAAAGGAACCTCATCTCACAGATTTGGGGTGGGACAGAAGATTCATACTGGGGCGTCCCAGGTAAGTCTGTGGAAGGCTGAGGCAAAGTGGAAGGTCTGTGCAGCTCTAGAACGGAATATGTGTTCTGCATTAGTGGGAGGGCTCAGAAGAAATAAGGAGAGCTATTGGAAGCTTTGCACAGTGCAGGTGGAAGATGACAGAGCCCAGATTAAAGGGTAAAGAAAAATACGAGATAAATTGAGGTCTGGGGTTTGGTTGGGTGAAAGTTGAGTGAGAGGTGGGTGTGATGGGATGAAGAGCTAGGCGTGGGGGATAGCACCTGTGATCCCAAAACTAAGAAGGAGGGCCGAGTTTGGTACTAGCCTGAGACAATGATATGGCATTTCATAAAGCAAAATGAAACAAAAGGATGACGGAGATGCAAGAACAGAAGGCCAGGGTTAGGGCAGCCCCTCCATCAGCCCAACCTGAGTGTGTCATCGGGCCAGTCAGTAAGGTGAGTGAGCGCTCATTCAAGATTGTGCTACATTTTGGATCAGCATGAGGTGGAGGGTTGCAAACCACACTGAGCCTGAGCTTCCGTGGAAAGTTGAGCTCCACAGACCTGGAGCCAAGGGTCTCTGTACCCGTCAAGTGTCTGAGTATCTCTTTCTGTCATTCTTCCCCAATGACAGAAAGATGGCGTGAGAGTACGCTGCTCTTTGCTACACAGGGTGTCCTTGGCCCTGAACACAGACAGGCAGAACTAGCCCCACACTGAGATGTCCTTGAAAGGAAATAAGGCTCGCAATCTTTCATGAAGGCATCTGCCATTGAAAATAGTGTCTGACACATAAGGGAAATTTTAGGTTCCCCTCCAAATATGGTACTCTGTGACAGAAAAGGCACAGTGCAAAGCAAGAGGAGAGGAGACCTAGTGACACGTTCAAAAGTCCCGGTGGCTTCCTGTTCCCAAAGAAGTCAAGCATGCTGACCCATGTTAGCAGTGTCATAGCCCAAGACAACTCATTTCAGAAGTTGCAATAAGTGCAAAGATTGTCAACAGTCTGGAAGTCCTTAATCAGAACCTATGATTCCCTTCGTTGGGAATGACGCATTTTGAAGATGCCGCTTGGATTAGGACATCCCCTTAAGAATGGAGATTGCAGCAGACGACACACCTTTTGACCAATCAGTGTGCCACAGCATTCAGATGGCAAACAGGGGAAGTTCTCTCTTGGTCTGCTCTGCTGAGACCTTTCCCTTCACCAGCTTCTTAGTGCTGCTACCCCGAAGCATTGTCCCTCCCTGTTCACACTGCCCCACCCTGCTCTGGTGGCAGATAGGGGTGGTGGGATCCAGGAGGCTCTGGATCTCTTACTGTTGTCCCGTAAGTGAGGTGCATTAAGAGACCACCCTGGTCTTGGCCACCACTGAAGAATGCACCTACTCAAATGACTTTATACAAGAGGCCATAAGCAAGGTACTCCCCACTCGGCTTGATGATGTCCCCGGATACCATCATGCCTTAAGCCACTTAAGCCAAAGTGGTAATGAGGCGATGGCTCAGTCATTCAGTAAATGCTGACTACATGGTCATGAGGACCTAGGTTAAGATCTGCACTGTCCTCATTAAAAAAAAAGCCAGGAACCATGGCACATACCTGGAATCCAGCACTGGAAAGGCAAAGAAATGCATCCCTTGAGTTTGTGAGATTTTGAGTGGAGGAAAGGGGGTTTTCATAGGGTCTTAACAGAACCTAATTGTCTTCATAGAACCTACTCCCAGTAACTGATGGAAGCAGATGCAGTGTGACCCATAGCCAAGCACTTTGGGTCCAGCTCCTAGAGTTCAGTTGAAGAGAGGGAGAAGGGAATATATGAGCCAGGGGTGTCAAGATCATGATGTGAAAAACTACAGACAACTGACCCGAGCTAATGGTAGCTCCCAGACTATGGACTGACAGCTGGGGATCCTGCATGGGACTGAAGTAGGGCCTATAAATGTGGGTGACAGTTGTGTTACTTGATCTGTTGAGACGGGGCTGGCAGCATGGCCAGGACCTACCCTGGGTGCATGAACTAGCTTTTTGGAGCCCATTCCCTATGGGGGAATATCTTGCTCAGCCTTGAAACAAGGGGAGGGACCTGGTCCTGCCTCAACTTGGTATGCCAGACTTTGTTGACTCCACAAAGAAAGCCTTGCCCCATCTGAAGAGTGGATGAGGGGACAGGAAAAGGGGATAGAGGGGGAACTGGGGTTAGTATGTACAATGAAAAAAATAAATAAATAAATAAAGATACAAAAAAAGTAGAAGAACATGGGATTTGTCATGAAGGAGTGGGTTAAGTAGATGCCCAGTCTGAAAATTACTTGCCCTGTAAGCATGAGGAACTGGCTTTGGTCCCACAACCCTCATCAGAAACATTTACAGTCCCATCAGAGACAAGTGAATCTCTTGGCCTCATTGGCCAACCTGCCTAGCCTAGACTACAACACTAAGAGACCCTGTCTCAAGAACAAGGTGCATGGCTCCTGAGGAATTACATCTGAGGCTGACCTCTGGCCTCCACAAGCATGTGCACACACACACACACACACACACACACACACACACACACACACACACACACACGAGAGCCCACATACAAACTAGTATGCACACACACACACACAACTACACACACAAGCAGAACACGGGCGTCAGAGATCACTCTTTGGCAGTTAACCAGGACCACGGCCCATACCGTGGGTATAAAAGTCACTAAAGGGAACTTACTGGTAGGCTGCTGGGGGGTGGGAGAGGACACACATGACCCTGTGACTTAAGATTCAGGCTCTCTCCAGGTACTATGATCAGACTCAGGCAGTTGGGAGGACAGGATCACAGCGGTGCCTACTTAAAATAATTCTCAGCCAGTCAAAAGATATTAACAGAAGGTCCTCCCACAGGAAATGCTAAATAGCCCCACACTGGGTGCCAATTGAAGGCGGGGGTTAAATGAATCCACCAAACCCAAGACAAATGACAAATAGGTATTTATTAGGGAAGCACTTACACAAATAATAGTAAATAACCACCTCAGTCTTCCTGCTCCAGAAGATGCATGCAGTCTCTGCCCTTCAGATGCTCTCACCACAACCCAAGAGATCGAGCCATCCCCTTCTCTACCTTATTGGAGGGTCAAGTCTGAACACCTGAAACCAAGCCCATAGGATATGGCCACCACTGTGAGTTCACCGGCAAAGCAAGATGTCACTACAGTGTCTCTCTTCTAAAAAGTTCAAATTCCAAGGAACAAAGCTTGGAAGAAGCTAGTGGTCTGTGACTCAGGGAGAGCAGGGTTCTCCATGACAGCTCCAATGTCAGGTGTCATGAGAGGGGACAATATGGAGACACAGTGATTCTACTCCCATCTTATACAGCACTGGGTGACACCCTGGCCAGCTCTACCCTCTGGATGGAATTGTCACTCTTGGCTAATAGAAAATCCCCTGTGAGATGGCTCCATCCTGGGTATCAATGGACACATACCCTCTGTCACCCTCAGCTGGGTCATCATCCTCTACTGTGCCTACTCCCATTTCCAGAGCCCTGGGAGCTACGCCAATTAGAGCTAAAGCTCCCAGAACCCAAGCACAGTAAAGCCTAGACCATTAATTATTGTTTGCTTTATGAAATACACAAACCCTTTCAACAGCTTCAGAGCAAAACAGCAGAGCCAAAAGCACCATAATCCTGTCACTCCTGGACTTAGACTAGCTTTTCCTGAAGAGATGACAAGCTCAAGTGTGATGTGTTAGCTGTTATCCAACACTTCCCAAGAGCCTCCAGCTGGAGCCAGTTTTAAAACTGCCCATCAAAACCCTCATCTAGAAGCAGCAACCAGGATGGCCACCAACACAGCTTCTCCTTCAGATGCACTCTTCAGTAGATAACTGACAACTATGACACCCTATGACAGAGTTCACTGGCAAATCCACAAGCACCATTTCAATCCATTTCTACAGGTGAAAACGTGAATGTGTTGGCATTTCCCCCCTCTATGGAAACACACATATCCACATGATCACCTCCTTCAAATGTAGTAGATATTAGATCATGAAAACAGATAATTTCCAGCAAGACACTACTGAGACATCCTACATCTCCACAGAAAATGTCATCGCAAGTTGGTACTTGCCTACATGGGCCGAATAATTTTCTTTCTCATTGTACAAAGAGCCGTCAACACATGATCATGTTTTACTAAGAGAGCCTCCAAATAAATGTGCCTTTCCAGGCTCCACAGACTGTATAGTGTTGGTTCCAATCTAAACACACCTAACGTACTTTTCCCATGAGAGTCTGGAACAGTCCACGTCCTCTAGAGCGGCAGTTCTCGACCTCCGAATGCTGCAACCCTTTAATATAGATCCTCTTGTTGTGGTGACCCATAACCATACAATTATTTTACTGCTACTTCATAACTGTAATTTTGCTACTGTTATGGATTATCTGTGCTTTCTGATGATCTTAAGCAACCCCAGTAAAGGGGTCGTCTGACCCACAAAAGGGTTATGACCCACAGATTGAGAACTGCTGCTCTAGAGTTATCAATATTAAAAGGCCAGGAAGGAGGAGCCAGAGGACGTATAGACTTCAGAAGCAAGTGTCCCCTGATGACAGCATTTACCTAGTGATGGTGCCCCCCTCCCTGAAAGCAGATCTTGGGGTTTTTTCGGACCTGTCTTCCCAAACTAGAAACTCTCCAGTCTTCAGAGTCAAAAACTGTGTTGCGGACTCAGTGTAGGCTTCTAACCCTAGCAGTGGAGCCTTCCTTCTTCCCACCAATCCTTCCCATGCTCTTGAGGGTCTTCACCCCCACCTAGCTCCACCTGATGGGGGATGTCCTTCTGTATGCTGTGAATATATGTTTCTCTTATTGGTTGATGAATAAAGCTGTTTCAACCAGTGGACAGACAGGATGTAGCCAGGCAGGAAGTATAGGAGGGGCTGCCAGACAAGAAGTATGGAAAGAAGACGGTGGAGAGTAAGTTGCCAGGGAGCTGCCATATAGCTACTGGGAAGGTAGGACACCTGGGCATTCTCCAGCTACACGGAGATTAGTAGAAATGTGTTAATAATTAAGAGACAGCTAGCCAATAATAAGCCTGAGCCACAGGCCAAACAGTTTATAATTAATATAAGCCTCTGTGTGTTTATTTGGGACTCAATGGCTGTGGGACTGGGCAGGACGGAAACTTCCATCTACACCCAACTATCATTCCTGTGTCTGGGCAAACAGACACATCACCAGGACTCTAAGAAATGCTAGGTTCTATTTTAACATGACTCTTAGTTTTTTTCCTCTATACTTACTTGACCTTTGGTTTGTAAATGGTTGAGGTCCTAAAATACTTTTATTATTGAAGATTCTTGGGGAAAGATCCCAGGTCCTGGTGCATGCCAGACAATCAGAGTATTCTATTTTTGTTTTATATTTTATTTATATAAATTCTCCCAGTTATGCAAGCTTTGAAATTGAATTTATATGACTATATGTAGCTTTTCTAGAAATTAATATAATAATATAATTCCCACCGATTCAGTTTTAGATTGTTTCTTACAGATTCATGTTATAAATGTTATCATGATGACTATCTGTATGTGAGGTAGGAGTTTGTGTTTCTAGAATGTTCTTCCTTAGGATGTGGCAGACTTGCAGGACAAAGGATTGAGATCAATAGGAGACCATTTGCCAAGCATGCATGAGGCCTGGAGTCTCAGAAGAGACAGCACTCACCAAGCACATGCAAGGCCCCAGGCTCTCAGTAGGAGAGGGAGCACTCTCCAAGCACACACAAGGCCTGGGCTCCATTCCCAGAACAAGAAACAAAGCAAAGGGTGACTACAGCAACAGGAAGTAGTTCTCAAGTAAGTTTTCTGTCCTGGGTTGTATATCTACAATCCATATAGCCCAATGCCATTCAAAGAAGGATACAAACGTACAAGGAGTTGCAAGAAAAGTATACAAGAGGCCGTCATCTTATTTTATACCACCATCATATGCCTTGATAAACGTTGCTTCTTTTTCCATTAAAAACACTTTCTAAACTGTAAGACAATCTGATACCTCTGGCTCAGTGTGGTGGCACCAGCTATTCAAAGCTGAGACAAGAGGATCACGTGTGCCTAGAGGTTCAAGATCATCCCCGGCAGTCCAAGCAACACCGTGGGACCTAGTCACCTATCACAAAAATCAGCAACTTTATATTCATTTTTATTTCCTCATCTTTTGGCGAAATAAAACATTTCTTCTCTTTTTTTAAAAAATAATTATTATTTTCAAGAATGTCTTACAATGCATTTCGATCATATTCTCCTCTTCCCCTGCCCCATTCCTCCCAGATCCACCCATTTACTCATTTGAAACTTTGTATTTTTTGTTTGAAATTTCACTGTGTGTGACAGGAGCTATTTGGCTATTAAACTATTAACATTTTTCATATCAATTAAATGGATATCACGTGACTACCATAGAGTTATAAAACACAGGGTTACAGATCATGTTACCACATTTGTTTCAATTGGGGTTTTATTGCAATAAAGAGAGGTTGCAGGGAGTCAGTTACATTCAGACCACCAAGAGTTTATTCCAAATAACACTTCCCCAGGTTTTGCTTCATTTTTTTAGAAAAAAAACATCCTGTATAGGCTCCACAGGTTCCCAGTTGGTGGCACTGTTTGGGAAGGATATGAGGAGCCCTGCTGAAGGAAGTTCATCACTGAGGGTGACTTTTCAGAGTTTATACCACTGCCCAACTTCCACCTTCCTCTCTCCCTCCTGTGAGTGACTGAGGTGTGATCTCTCAGCTTCTGGCTCAGCCACCTGCTGCCATACCTTCCCCATCACCATGGACTCTCTTCCTGGAACCATAAGCCAAAATAAACTCTTCATTCTGTAAGCAGGCTTTTGGCAGAGCTGTTTTCTCAGAACATTAGGAAGGCAGCTAATACATGACATACAATACATTGTGCTCATTCAACAATTAGACACATTTGATCTACAGAGTCAACACAATCAAAATAATACAATGTTTCACCTCCCTAAAGCATTTCTCCAAGTTGTTCCTATATCATCCTCAGGGGACCTAAGGATTCTTGGCACTCTAGGGTACCAATTTGGAGATTTTATTTTAGTGGTATCACAGTTCAGTGCTTGGTTTTATTGTCTTTGTTGTAAGATGCCATCCTCCATGTCAAAATCTCCACCATCTTTAGGGTATCAGCAATTCTTACAAAAAAATCATCATAGCTGGGTTGGTTTTTTTGTTTGTTTGTTTGTTTGTTTTACTGTTGACAATCCCTCATAAGAGAAGGTAGGATCAGTCCCTGGATCCTTACCTGCAGTTCCAGCCACTCTTCCCAGCAATTTGGATGCAATCTTCCCTCAGTATCTAAGGGAAGAACTAGAACATACAGGTTTGGGGAGATGAGGGAAAGGGGCTCATCCATTCTGGGTATAAACTTCCCACTGTGGCTCCTTGGACACTCATGCCCACCCTGCCATGAAAGCAAGCCCAATAAACTCCTTGGTTCCCCATGATTAACTCAGTGGAATCATTTTGTTTGGGACCTTAGGAGAAAACAGCTAAATGTTGTTTCTGTCTCTCCAGGGGAAGGAATTTTACTGAACCCCAGATTCTTCAATCTTCCAAGATTCTTGGCTCTATACTGTCAATCTAAAGTCTAATAGACTACATCAAATATTCCCCAGGAGAGAGGAGATTCCATCCTTTCAGCTGGAACTACACTACTATAAGACTTAACTCTTCCTTCAGTTGAGTTACAAGAAAGCAAGGACCACTCCCTTCTGTCCTCTACGTTAT